ACTAAATTGAACTCAGATGGGACCCTGCATAAATATAAAGCCATGCTGGTTGCTAAGGGCTTCCAACAGGCCCCTAGGGTAGATTATTTTGATACCTTCTCACCAGTGGTTAAGGTTGCATAAGTCATGCTATCCCTAGCAGTGCATCATAACTGGACCATTCAGTGGCTAAATGTCAACAATGTCTTCTTAAATGGAGAATTGACAGAAAATGTGTTTATGCTACCCCCCTGAAGGCTACACTGGTTTTGCAAGTTATAAACATGGTCCTCGGCAAGTTTGTAGGCTGCATAAAGCCTTGTATGGTCTCAAACAAGCTCCTAGAGCTTGGTTTGATAAGCTTAAGTCTGCATTAATTGATTAGGGTTTTGAAAATTCAATTTCAGATGTGAGCTTGTTCTTTTATAAGAATGAGTCTACATTAATGTATCTTTTAGTATATGTAGATGATATACTTGTAATAGGGATAATGCTTAGCTTATATCGACCTTGGTGGCTGATCTAGATAGCAAATTTGCTCTTAAAGCTCTTGGGGAAGTAGGATATTTTCTAGGTTTTGAAGTAAAGAGGAATCTTACTGGTCTTCTCCTTACTCAGACCAAGTATGCATAGGATCTATTAACTAAGGCAACAATGGCAAAGTCTAAACCATGCACCATTCCTATGGCTACTGGACTTAAGCTTGGGAAAGAAGATAGTAAAATTTTTTACCAACCAACTCTACATAGGGGCATTATTGGTGGCCTACAGTATCTGACTTTGTCTAGGCCAGATTTGGCATTTGCTATGAACAAACTCAGTCAATTCCTACAGCAGCCTACTGACATGCACTAGACAACTTGTAAAAGGGTTTTAAGATACATCAAAGGGACTTTATACCATGGGATTCTCTTTACTAAGCAGAAGCCTTTTACCTTAGAAGCTTTTGCATATGCAGATTAGGCTGGAGATGAGAAAGATAGGAGATCCACTAGTGGCTACAATGTGTTTCTTGGGGGTAACTTGGTTCAGTGGTCCTCCAGGAAGCAAAAGATTGTATCATTGTCTTCTATAGAGGCTGGGTATAGGTCACTCAATTAAGCTGCAACAGAACTAGTGTGGCTTAAAAATTTGTTCACAGAATTAGGTATTTTTATTACTAATACTCCAGTTATCTAGTGCGACAACATGAGTGCTCGAGCACTTTCTTCTAATCTAGTATTTCATCTCAAGACTAAGCACATCGAAATTGACGTGCATTTTGTAAGAGAATTGGTTGCAAACAAACTATTACATGTGCAATATATTGCCATTGAATATCAGATTGTTGATATCCTAACAAAGGCTCTACCTGGCTCCAGATTTGCTATGCTCATAGATAAGCTAGATGTTATTGTTGAGCTGCCTGCTACTGGGGATGTTGAGGGTGTTGATCATGCCTAGCATGAGTAGTCAAATTACTCATTGATTGTGATTGTTGCTAGTAGGTGTTGATTATCTGGGCAGTTGTGACTTGGTTGTGATTGTTGCTAGTAGGTGTTGATAATTTGTGCAATTGTGACTATTCAAGTAATGTGTTTAGTTTTGCAGGTGAAAGTGAAGCAATGTGTTCAAGTTTTTGCAGTATGTTGACTTCTTTACAAGCACTGGAGGATGGTTGATTCTTTATGTTTTTATGTTGTTTTCTTTAAAAGTCTCCTGAGCAGTACCTTTACAAGATGGCAGGTTTGTAGAAATTATGCAGATGTGTGGAGTGAACTTTGGAATGAATGTTGGCTTCTTCACAAAATTGGGGTAGGTTAAAGAAGTGAGCAAGTCAAGTGAACTGTGGTCTTATGTAATAAGTAGGTTGCTGGACTGTGGTCTTGTGTAATGGGTAGGTTGCTGGAGTACTAAAGTTAGCTATATAAGCAAAGATTCAAGTTGATAAGCAGAAGAAGTATAGTTGATGAAATGTAAGAATACACAGACGGAAAAGAAAAGGTATTTTGGTTTACGGGGAAATAACGGTATAAAGAGGTGTTGAGGCTGTGTAGTGGTGTTTATGAGGGAATATTGAGTATAAGTGTTAACATGTAAGGGTGTCTCTGTAAAGATTACAACTAATCACAGGGTGTGTATTGTAAAGTTTGTAAGTAGAAAATGCAAAACGGAGTGTTTAATGTACATTGTTGTTTTGTATATTAAAACAGTTTTATCTGGTTGACTTGTAAAAAAAAAAAAAAAAAAAAAAATCCAATTAATGAAGATTCCACTGCTCCTCAAGCTATTTTTTCTCTCTCAAAATACTATAGTTTTTTTAATTTTTCTTTTCAAATCCGTTCCAAATCTACACATGAAATATGCATATAGAATTTTNGGCCGTCGACGGCCATAACAGGCCGTAGATCTGGCCTTTTCCGGCCAGATCCGCGATGCGTTACGGCACAGATCCGATCGCTCTGTGCCGTAATGAAATTTTTCGGCCAGATTCTGGCGGTGGTGGCCGGAATCTGACACTGCAGGTGGTAGGGGTGTTTTTGTCATTTTATATAATAGGGTCTTTAATTAAATTAGTAAACCTAAGGGCTTTTTCATAAATTTTTCAAATTTACCTCGTAATACTCTCCTATCCAACAATCCAATACTATCCTCAAAATCTTATCCAAAATACTACACCAAACGCACCCTAGATTATTTTAAGCCCCTACATTTGTTAATTTAACTAAACATCCCCCACAATAAAAGTTTATAAATTAACAAAAATATCCCCACCCACCTAGCTATTGCCAACAATCGGTCACCATCGTCGGACGATGGCCAAAAGTTTCCGTAACGATGCACAATCAACTAGATATGGCCGGTCATGCACTGATCTAGCCAGAAATGGCCAGATCTACGGCCAAAGAATTGGCTATTGTTTGGCCATAACGATGACCAAGATATGGTCGTCGTCAACGGTCAGATCTTTGACTATAGATCTAGTCGTTTTGGGTCAGATCCATGGTGGATCTGGCTAAAAAAAGTCAGACTGGCGCACGACCGACCAGATCTAGCCAGTTATGCACCATTCCAGTGACTTCTGACCATTGTTCGACGGTGGTGGTCGGCTGTCGACAATAGTTAGGTGGGTGGGGGTGTTTTTTTAATTTATAAACTTTATTGAAAAAATGTAATTGTTAAATGTTTTGAGTTGAATAGAATATGGATTTTGAATTGAATAGGCAATATTAAAATAAATATGTATTTTAGTGGATTAGATTGGATAGGATAATAGGATAGGATAGGGTTTAAAAGGTTAAACAAAAGGCGGAACTCTTTCAAAGAAACTCATAAAGATGGTGTCAATAAAAGACGAAATGATGCAAATGAGTTTTGGCTTGACGGGTTTTTCATGAAGTTGATAGTGTACTGTTTTTTCTGTAATGTGTCTTTATGCTTTGCCTTAGGGTAAAATATATTGTTTGTTTTGTTTTGTTAGGTCTGTGAGGGGGGACGGATTATTAAAACTCCATTTCAAAGTGTGGAATGAATGAACTCTCTTGAAATATCATAAAACTCTTAAAAGATATCAAAAGCCCCATATAATCCTGAAAATCATTGTGATGCTTGAGACTTAACTAACTCTTAAAGGGGTCGAATAAAATAAAGCCATCAAATCTCAAATAAGGCGATGAAATGCATTTGATTCCAAAGTTCTTACAAAATTTTGTATTATAATCTATAAGTAAAGGTGAAATTTTATTAACTTTCCTCAAATTTTTCCTTTTTCCTATAAACAAATAAACCCCATCCAAAATTGAACTCGGTAAAATTGTCTTCATTCGCTAATTTATGCCTTTTTTTATCTGAAAAAAAGGAGAAAAGTCATCAAGTTGTGAGCCGTGTCATTTTATGTCAATATCAAGATTAAAATATAACTCTAAGAGTTTCAATCTGCCATCAACCTCGACAAAAGAGCTTTACTTTCCTCGAGGTTGGGGGTTGAGGTCGCACTTCTACTTCTTCGTCCTAATGCCAATTTAGGGACTCAATCTGAGGGCTCGAAGTAGGCCCTACAGCCTCTCATCCTTACATTGAATCCACAACAAGGTATTGCAGCCAATAGCAGCCCATATTTTATGACACGCCGATTCAATTAAAGAAGGAATCTCATCTCTCTTCCAATACAAATAGAGCCGGAAGAGTCAAAAGTTTGTAGCTTGGAGCTTGGCCTAACTGCTTCCTCCGCTAATTGCCGAAAGAAGCCGGCTGAAAAAGAAAGATCTTCTACTTCAACCTGGCTTCCCTCAACTGCTAATGCGGCTGCTACACTTTGATTCTTTATTCCCTCTGCAGCTATTGGATGGGGTGGTATATTGGATCCAGACTGACCACCGTAGTAGAGCGAGAAAGTATACAAACTTTTGTATATAAACTGATACCGTATTACTCTTTTATAATCATATCCATTCATTCTCATTAGTTGAATTAATTTTTTTCACTTTCATCTTTTCATTTATTGTGTATTATATATAAATTTGTATGCAAAGGTTTATACATGATAATGGTATAAAGAGGTGTTGAGGCTGTGTAGTGGTGCTTAGCACTTTGGTTTACAAGGGAATATTGAGTATAAGTGTTAACATGTAAGGGTGTCTCTGTAAAGATTACAACTAATGACAAGGTGTGTTTTGTAAAGTTTGTAAGTAGAAAGTGCAAAACAGAGCATTTAATGCACATTGTTGTTTTGTGTATTAAAACAGTTTTATCTGGTTGACTTGTTAAAAAAAAAATCCAACTAATGAAGATTCCACTGCTCCTCAATCGTTAGCTCAAGCTATTTTTTCTCTCTCAAAATACTATAGTGTTTTTAATTTTTCTTTTGAAATCCGTTCCAAATCTACACATGAAATATGCATATAGAATTTCTACTTTTTTTCAGCAGTCTCATGCAATTATCATTGTTAAGTAACACCCACAAGATAAAAGACAAAAATAAATTTTTGGCTCCGCCCGACATAAATTTCAAGTTTCATATATAATTGAGTTTTATCAATGACTCAAAAATGGTCTCCATAACTACAAACAAATTATATATACAGATTTCTTTATACAATGTGACTTGCTATCCAAGTCAAGAAGCCTTTGAACATTTGCAACCATGCAAAATTTTGAAGCTGTAAAACACCTAACATGGTGATGTTCTTGAGTCCTATGGCTACAGTGTGCAGCTCAGGAAAAATATACAGGAATCTGATGCTGGAGTGATGACCTTACGAGGCCATTGATTTATGCTGCTAGAGACCCTGGAAGTTGATGGCAGTTAACCAGAAGAAATAGTTTATGAATGCAGAGTTGCAAATTGTTGAAGGAGAGAATTGTTACTTTTTTCTTAGATTACTGATCTTCCCGGGAAATGATGGCGTATAGCTGTTTGGCTGTCCATGTTTCTTCAGCTAGACTTCGTAAAGGAACGTTGATCTCTTCCGCAATTGTCATCATTAGGACCCTGCATTCTGCAACAGAAACGGAAATGTGGTTGCTTATTAACTCCAACTCTCGGGCTTAGAATTCTACGTATTGAATAGTTCATCTCTCACACATTAAAACTGGGACCTTGTTGTTTGGCGTTATCTGACATTAATAGACAAAAATTCAATCAAAATTTTTTTATGGTCAGGCAGGACCATTGTTGGGTAGATGGGATTCATGCACGCTGATCAATTGCAAGTTGATACATTGTATTTGTGAGAAAAAGTTAATAAGAAGTATTTGTCAGTACAGTATTACTTTATTGAAAACGGTAAAATTTTGGCTCAACTATGGGATTTGAGATTTAAAATATGTGGACATCTGTATTAAGAATTCTCAATGTATTGAATATAACAAGAATTCTCAGTCTGCTAGTCCAATATATACTAAAGGACAAATTTTTATAATTGAAAACTATATGAGAATAAATTTAAACTGATTTTTTATCTTTTAATATTAGATAACGTTAATTAACCATTCACCAATGTCATTAAACGAGGTTTGCAAGAAAGACAGACCGTTGAATATATTTCACTCATTTCTGCACATATATTTGACCATGCTTCGTATCATATGTTACATTTTTCTTCCTAAACTGGCAACTGAAAAAATTATTCAAAACAAGTATTTTCAAGCAAAAGGTGCTAACCTGGGATTCTGCTGAAATTGAGCAAAGACATTGAAGCAAGGACCTTGAGCTGAAGTTGTTCACCATGTTCAAGGATTTCTTTCAGCTGAGAGATTAGGGCTGAGAAGGCAGAGAGCTGGAATTCGGTATCCGATTGCAAAGAAAGTGCATTGCTTAACCATGCCACAGTAACAAGGCATACCTTGATCAAATTCAAGTTTCCAGAGCCTAAACTCTTGGAAATAGTCTCTAGAAATGACTTTTTTCCATTTCCGAGCAGTGATGCTGACAGGTTTCTCAACCACTCTTCAATGGCATCTTCTTCATCATCCTAAATAAGATGATCAGAATTCGGTTAAATTCTTCCAATAATCCCAATCAAAAGCAATGAAGTAGAGTTTATATCATTTTAATTACTTGCTTTATAAACTTGTTTCCCATTCCAAAAAACTGACTTCAATAAATTGGAACAAATATGATATTTCAGTAACTAGTTCATTTCCTCTGCGATGTCTACCAGTAAATAGTTTATTGGCACTAAATGACAAAAATATAGTCCAACATTTTTATATTGGAAACTATCAAATTTTGTTTTTCACTGTTTATTTACACTAGTTAAGAAGAGTCTGGATTTTAAGAAAATGTGGACACGTGAACTTGAAAATTCTTGTTTAATAACTTTAAGCAACTTGACTGTTGAAGATATTTAGGAACACTAGTTAGTGATGCGGAAATTACATACCAAGTCGATAGAATCATGCACCAGTATATCGTTTTCTTCATTGTTCAGAGAATTTACTTCACAACCATATTCATTAAACCCAGCTTGCTTCAGGATCCAGATCTCAGTCACCAATTCTCCCGAAAGAGATAGGCGCCCTCCCAAGATAAGGAGGGCTCTGCAACACTTCTCTCGCACACTCTCATCCTTTACGCTTTCATCCAGGGCCGCTGTAATGGCGTCAACAGCTGCCTCTTTATATATGCTATACTTTCGAGGTTCTACCTGCAGCATACCGTTGTCTCAGGAACAATGGAGAAACCAATAAGCATTGAGGAAATTCTGAAAGCTACTAAATCTTAAATTTAATGAGCATACCCGAAGATCTAAGTGTAGCAAAAGCACAGATACTAAGGGTTTTTGCTCTGGAGGAGAACTCTGGAGAAACACGAGCAGAACATGCATTGCTTTCACTATCTCTTCATTCTGCAAGCCACTTAACAGTGACGCCACATCTCTCCGCCTGAAAAAACAAACGTTAAGAATATACAAAAAAAAAAAAAAAATTCTCAATTGCGAAGGTCTGCATTCTTTTAAAGTTCAAACTTTCGTTCATGGGCGCTAAGAAACACTAAAAGATAAAAAATTTCACAATTTTCAATGCAAGAAAATTTTGCTGAATTTTTTCTTCCATTGTTTACTAGTAACATCTAACGAAGTCTTCATTTTGACAAAATGCAGAATGAGATTAAACATCGCACACCTGTTCAAGCAAATCAATTCACTCAGCAAGAGCACTGCATTTGTTCTTGACTTAACTTCCTTGCTGTGAAGCAGCTCCAGGAGAGTCTGTTTATTTACACTTCTAGCAATCTGGGTTCTGCAACTGGTGTCTGCTTCAATACAACATAACAAAAGTGCTGCTACACGTGTCCTCTCCTCTAAACTTCCTAGCCCAAACCTCCGAATAAGAAATTGCAAACCACCAAGAGAGATAAGGTGTTTGGCATTTGTTATTCTATCTTTGCTGCTAAAAGTGGTAAGAAGTTGCTCTAGTATAACTATAGCTGTTTCATCCCGGTTTGTTGACCTTTCTTCCCCTGAATTCCCCACAATTTGAGAGGCGACAGCCAAAAGATATCCGCAGTTTTGTAACTTCCAAGCATCAATAACACGCTTCAAAATGAAGTTGGTGAGTGGGACAGTTGTAGATTCCAATGTTTTTCCTGTTACAGGACATGTTTTGTTTCCCTGATCCATCCATTTTTTTATGGCCACTCGCTCAAAGCTTTGACCAGTCTCTAGGGTCACTGGATCTTCGAACAATTGTCCAGTCAGGGGGCAAATGAAGTCCTGAGGAATGCTTGCGAAGAAAGATCCTTCATCAAAATATTCTGGACTTGCACGCAACTCTGCACTGGGAAAATGTAGATATGAGCACTGGAATAAAAATTACAAACACAAAATATGTTCTTTTTTACTAACCTTCAAAAGCGGGACACAATTTGTTTGGCTGCTCCTGGAAAAAAATATAAATTAAAGAAAATTTTATAGACATTCATAGCAAAAACTACAGAAGAATGCAAGAAATGAGGCACAGAATCTTGAATGCTACCTCACTAGTACTCTCAAGTTGTTGCTGTTCAAAAATTGATCTTGCCAGTCTCTTGAGGGCAAGCTCGTTCGCCTCTGTATTTGAAGGTGCACATACCTCAAGAGGATCTTCTTCAGTTTTTTTACTTGTATTAGAGATGCTAACTTTATCACTCACATCTCTTTCTGGTGAAACACTCACTTCCTGCAGCCTTAACCCTTCCTCATATGTTAATAACAGTACTTCTTCCTGCAGAATATTTAAATTCTTAAGGCTACAATAGTTTAGAGAGGAAACAAGAAGACAAACTCAAGGTCCATTTCATCAGCAGACCACACATCAGTATGCATATGAACAGACAGTCATATCATCTCCCAATAAATAAAAAGTGTATCATTCCTAAATCTAACTGGTTTTTAATGAAACTGTCGCTATAATTCAGATCTCATTCAAAGAAAGATATCAAATGTCCGAAGTTTCTCTTCATATATTATATAAACAACAGTAATGGACGAAATAAAATCAACTTGAATTCTGAAGACAATCGCCTCACACTACGGTTTGACTACCTTAGATTTAATACTTACTGCTGATCTAGAAAGTAAAACATATGTACTCCCGTAGTTCGGCGCATTCTGTCTATATGAGAATATATGTGATAATATAAATCTCAAGAAACCTTCCACAATCTGAGTCAAAGTCTTATAAATCCAGTATCAAGCTTTATGCCACAAATTTAGTATGAGAATCCATTCATATTAGCTATAAACAGCAAACTAAAATGAATAAGAAAGATCAAAAGCAAGAAAAAAAAAATATTATAAAAAAGATTATGTTAAATTGCTTACTGAGTATAAAGCATCTTGGACACTCTTGGTGGAACCTTCTTCGACATCTTGATATGTGCATTTAACAATTTCAGAAGAATAGGTTAATGTTTGTTTAACTTCTACAATGGAACTGTCAGAGCTTCCTATTCCATTATCAAGGGTCTCTATTTCCCCATCATCTTCAGCCCCTTCAACTTTTGGTTTACTTAATCTTCCAAATACAGCGTCATATAGCTTTTTACTCACCATTGGTTGCGGTGAAAAGGGTCCAGAAGGACTAGCTACCTCTGAAGAATGACCAAATGAACCTCCTCGCTGAAGTCCACGAACAGACGTTGATGGAATTTGTATAGATGGTATTGAAGGAGCTTCAACTCCCTCTGTGAGCCAATCCTTATAGTAAGCTGCAAACTGGTAAGTCCCGGAATCCAGAATTTCATTGTACACTTTCTCAAGGAGCTTCAGCTTCCTAGGCCTGCTGGGCGCATCTGTTAAAGACTCAGCTTCTTGATTATACCACACCTTCAAATGTGCAAGATGTGGAGAAAATAAATGGTCCCAGAGTTTAGGTAACAAAGTTGTTCGCGCAATAAACGACGAATCACAGAACACTTGCAGTAGATGCTTTGCTGAGATCCTGTCTTTCTTTTGCAGCTTATATATCACACTAAGATAGAGATGAGCACAGGCCGACAACTTAGAATTGGGAATCCCGTAAGTGAAACCATCCTTCATATCACTTGAATTCAACCCCGTAATCACACTAAGCTGTAGTGAAGCTCTTTTCAATTCTTTGGAACTTGCAGACTCCTCAGCAGCTCTTTCTACAGTTTCAATTGCTTGCTCAAGATTGGCTATGACCTTGCTCTCATTGTGATATTCTTCTCCAAGTTCAATAAAATTAAGGCAAGAGAAGGAGTTATGACGAAGCGTCGTGCGAAAATCCTCATCTTTGAGAAATTGTTTAATATAACCACTGAGAATTGAGACCATGGCTTGAACAGCAACTTCATCAAGAGCAGGTTCAGAAGCTGGTGGCATAGCATTTTCAGGGTTTTCATTATCATCTTCGAATTTCTTTCGACTGCGCGAACCTCTGTTGGATCTGTCATAATTAATCTCAGGCTCTTTCAAGCTTCTCCTATTTCTATCTTTTGTGAGCAAACGTCCAGTAGAGCTGTTGCCCTGCCTCTTATCTATCATTACATCCTTTCCTGAACTCTCTTTAGGCCTCTCCTTTTCGACGATTCCTTTCAAATACTTTTCTCTCCTCTCTGATCTTCTTTTCACTTCATCATAATATATATTCATCACTGTCTCACTTTCTTCCACGCCTTCCTCAACTATCTCACTTCCCCGGAAATCTTCTGCAAGTTTTTCCTTATGTTCTTTCATCGACCTTTTATCTACTCTTTCTTTTCTAATAAGACTATCCCTTGGCTTTCTACTGCTATCACTTCTTGGCAATCCTCCTCTTAAAGCATGTCGAGATACATCAGACCTCACCCTTTCAGTTTTTATTCTGTTTAAAGGAGAAGCTGTTCTGTTTTGGTCTCGAAAAGGGTAACGAGGCATACTCAAAGAAGGTCTTGAGCTTGCCACTGATCTTCTTCCCCTGAATCCATCCTCTGCAAGAAGCTCCTCCAATGACGCCATTTCTGCCAATGTATGAATATTCCTCTGCACAAAGTTACAATCGAAATCAATTACCATCTTTTTCTTTCCAATAAATCTACCAACAGTAACACAGGCCCCCTTAGGCCTTGAAAAATTTCCAACCCATAAAAAGCACAAAAAAAAAAAAAAAAAAAAAAAAGAGGGAAGCCATGTATCAACACAAGATTATCAAGAACATCAATCAATAGTTTGTTAACTAGAATTAAAGAACGTGCAGGACTGAGAAACTAAATCAGAAGACCTTTCTTAAAACAAAGCCTTCCATAAACATAAAACATGTTAAAATATGCTTAAAACAGCCATGACTCACTTTTCAAGCTCCTTTTCACAACCCAAATTCCCAGAAAGCTCACAATTTTAACATTTTTTTCAACACAAGGGTCAAGACATATTCACAAAACATCGACCACAACATGGGTTTGATTCTGTTTTAATTGAAAACAAAACAAAACCAGAAAAGACAAATACTAAACACAAATATACACAAAATAAATGTTAAACTATACTAAAAAATAACACGACAGTTCTAACCTTTCAAGCTTCTTTTTTCAACCCAACTTCACAGAAAAAGCTCACAACTATGACAATTTTTCAACACAAGGGTGAAGATATATCCACAAAACATTTATCATAACATGGGTTTGATTCTGTTTTAAGTCAAAACTAAATTAACCAGAGAAGACAAACATTCATTAAAATTCATCTAAACTCAAATATATTCATAAAACATGTTAAAATATTCTTTAAAACACCATATTTCTTACCTTTGAGGCTCCTTTTCACAACCCAACCTCACAAAAAAGCTTACAACTTTGGCAATTTTTCAACACAAGGGTCAAGATATATTCAAGAAAACATTTATCATAATATGGGTTTGATTCTATTTTAATTCAAAATAAATAAACCAGAGAAGACAAAAAGTTCATAAATTTACATCTAAATTCAAATATACACATAAAACATGTTAAAATGCTTAAAAACTCCATGTTTCTTACCTTTGAAGCTCTTTTTCACAACCCAACTTCACAGAAGAGCTCACAACTTTGGCATTTTTTGAACACAGGGGTCCAGATATATTCACAAAACATTGATTACAACAATGGTTTGGTTGTGTTTTTGAGTGGTGGCGATGAAAACTGGGACAAGAATAGAATGTTGGAATATGAAAGGAGAATCTTGGGAAGAGAAAATAAGAAAACAAAAGTGGTGATGAATAAGATTGAGGAAAGGCCATGAAGGCATATAAAGGACTGCAAATGGAGTAAAAGACAAAGAGAAAGAGAAGATTTGAGCGACAAAGATGGAGAGAGTAACAATAGGCAACAAGGAAAATGCTGAAGTGAGAGGAGAGACAAATGGAGGTTGACAAACAAAAACATAATATTTTGTTGTGCTCCATGGACCCCACTTCTTTCAAAGCTATCAGTTACAACGTTGTTGTCGCTTTTTAATCATTAACTTCACGTAATTTCAGAGATACTCAAGTGAAAAACAACCCAACAATTATTGGTAGGTAGGGATCGGCGCGGGCGGGGTCGGGGACCCCATTTCCCGTCCCCGTCCTGATATCCACTTCCATAATTGTCCCCGACCCATCCCCGTTGGCAGAAACAACTCTCATACCATCCCTAACCTGTAGGGATGGAATCACTCTCATCCCTGTCTTGTCCTAGCCCGATGAACGGGACTTTACGAGAAAATTCCCTTGCAGAGATTTTTTCCCAAACATAATTAAATATATATATATATATCTAATCTTAACATAATTTATTAAGTAAATTGATTAATTATTCAATTGTATGGAGGTTTAGGTTTAGTTAGCCATATTAATTAATTAATTTTTTATTAAATTAATATAACTAAATTCAATCTTAACATAATTTACAAGGTTAATTGATTACTTATTTAATTGTATGAAGGTTTAGCTTATGAGTAATGTTATATTTACACCACCCATTACATCATTTTCATTACACCATCACCATTTTACTAATAATTATTTTATTATAATATTAAAAATTCAAAATAATTAAAAAGTTGTGTGGATGTGGGATATGCCACATCATGGTGTAATGAAAATGATGTAATTGGTGGTGTAAATGTAGCATTACTCTTAGCTTATTAGGCTTTAATCAACCATGTTAATTAATTAATTTTTCGTAAAATAACTATATATATATATCTAATCTTAACATAATTTATTAGGTAAATTGATTAATTATTCAATTGTATGGAGGCTTAGGCTTAGTTAGTCTTGTTAATTAATTAATTTTTCACAAAATTAATATAACTAAATTCAACCTTAACATAATTTATTAGGTAAATTGATGAATTAATTCATAAAACATTATCTCCATTACAACTAATAAAATTAGTCCATTTGTGAAAGAGACAAATCTCATTATCCCAAGTTCTCAATATTGATTAAGTTTAACATCATATTTAAATGATCAGTTAATTAATTACAAGGATAATTGAATTTGTGTAATTTGTAAGTCGTTAAGCAATTATGTATATTCTTATATTGGTTTGGTAAATTGTAATAATCTAATCAAATTTATTTTTGGGTCATGTATTCTTATTTTGTGAAATTCACAAAGTAATAATACATATATTTAATTATTAGACTCTCTCATTTAAATTATTTTTTCTATAAATTTAATACAAACATTAGAAAGTATTATAAAAATAAATATCATAAATTTAGATACATTACTTAAAACTATTATTTAAACTCTAACTTTATATACAATCTTACAAAAGAAAAAAAAAACATAAAATTCTCAATAAAAGAAGCGGGGCGGGTTTTTTTTAAGACCGTTGTCGCCACAAGACAGTCACATTTTGCGACCCCAACCATCTGAAAACAACTAGATTTTTGGCTGCTTCCCAACGCAAGCAGTTTATGCACACCTGAGCGTAAACTTCAGCACCACCCCAACACCCAAGCTTGTATGTAGTGGGAGAAGGCTGGCTGGGGGAAAAAAGTCGAGTAGGTGGGGTGGTGATGTCTAGAAAGGCTTGGATTTTAGTTAGGGCAAATGATCGAGCAGGTGGTGTGCGTCAAGGTAGGGAGGTTGTGGGGAAAGCTTGGGAATGGTGGAAACCTAGAAAATCACCAGTAAAACATAAAAAATAAAAACTTCTCAGTACACACACAATCTCCTACAAATTTCCCTACCAATCAAACTCCACAAACAACAAATTTTGTCGCAAATCGCGACTGTCGTATAGTGACGAGGGCAGTTCGCGAACGGCAAACGACGACAGAGGACAACCGATGGATGGTTGGGTGGGTTTTGTTCAGGAGAGGATGATGGTTCGTATGGTGGTGTCAGGGGTAATTTTCAGTGGCAAAATCGACCAGAATTTGACCTTAAAGATGGGTTATCACGCAAAAGAGCAGTGGTCGTCGGTCGTGGATAGGCAGGAGCAACGACATGGGAGTAAGAGGGTTTTGGTGCGGGTGATGTGAGGAATCTGAGGTGGGGGGGTTGTCTCGATGATGCCAAAATCAAACCGGATCTAGCCTAATCCGGCACTCGTTGGGTGGAGATGGGGGTTTTGTTAATTGACCATCATGCCCTTATAAATAAAGGGTTTTTTTACCATCCTGCCCTTTTTCACAATAGAATATACTAATGGAATTGTGCTCTGGATAGTGAAATGGTATTTTAAAAGTGTGTGGGTAGGAAAGTGTCATTAGGCAATTATTTGGGTGGAAAAAAGTCTTTTATTCATATTAAATACTTCTTAAAAATATAAAAAAATGTCATAAAACCCTCCAAAAAATCATAGGCACCGACAGATCTTGCGTTGTTACAGCGCCAATGGCTAGCGGTGGCAACGTCGGTGGCTGCTGGCGAGTGATAGTGGCTTGGATGAGTAGGGGTATTTTTGTTAATTTTAAAACTTTTATTGAGAAAAGTAATTGTTAATATTTTGAGTTGAATGTAACATGATTGAATTTTGAAAAGAATTTGAAATATCAAAACAAATGTGTATTTGGATAGGATAATATGATAGGAAGTGGAAAAAAAAAATGAAACAAAGGGAGGGTAAATTATTTTCATCTTCTCCAACAAAATTATAATCATGACACACCATGATCTTCACAACAATCTATGTGATAGTAGAGTCATCTTAGTCGCAATGATATGTAAGATCATAAAGGCAAGCTCTTAGCCAATAGCGGACCTGCATTCGATCTTGATTAATGTCAACTTCTTGTTGATCTGAACCATTAAGCCTACCACTAATCTAAACCATTCTATTTTTCCATTTGATTTTCGTAAAAAAATTTAAGGATAGATTGTTTGAAATTGTTATAAATATTTTTTTTTTTATTATTATCCACTCATGAAATTGAAAGAATTTTGAGTGGAAATGATCAATCCAAAGTGTGTAATTGTCAATACCTATTAGATACTTTGAGTGCAAATGCGGGTCTTGGGGGTGTAGTAGTAGTCTATGAAGATAATGGGTTTTAAGTAAATTTTAAAAGAGTTGTGCTTCGCAGGCTTAGCTAGTTTCAAAGTCCTATCTCAGCTGTTGTTTCATTTTCAACTACCAACTGCCGCCCATTTCTATGTATTCTCTCCTTTTGACTCTTTGCTTTTGCTATCTTACTTAGGACTTGGCCTGGCTATTATTGGCTTTTGGTTAATCTCCAATGGCCAACGCCAAACCCAGAAACCTTGATGTTACCCAATCAATACAATACAAATTTTTTATTTAAATCTACTAAATCAGAAATAATTTTTATACCGATTCACAAATTTTATACATACTCATTAGTAACTAAACTTCTAACTATATGAATCAAAGGTTTACAACTAATAGAACTATTATATTATTACTAAATACTAATTTGTTTTAGTACAGCTGCAAGAGTAATATCAATTTGAGGCTAAATGTGAAATTAGATGTGACCTCAAAAACGCTTAGGTCAAAGTTTTTTTTTTTTTGTTTTTTTTTTTTGGTTTAAATAATTGCCTCTTCCACGAACACAAGACCCCTAGATAGCTAACCTCAGTAGTTAAAGAGCTTGTCATCCAACCATAAAAAAAGAGGTTTTTAGGTCAAAGTTGGTCCTCGAGATGATGATTTTCATAAATTTAATGTGAATGAAAGTCGATAGGGTTAAGTCACCCTCTCTCCACATATATATAATCATGCCTATTTACTTTTGCTATGCAAATCAAGGGTTAACCGTTAATGATGTCAAGTTACTCTCTCTCCACGCGTATAATCGTACACCCCTAAAATTTTAACCATGCAAATCAAAGGTGGTAAGTGACGAGAGAATTTTTTGAATTTGTTTCATTAAATTGTTTATTATATAATTAAGGCATAATATATTGCCAAAATAATATTATCTTAAAATAACTAAAAATGATTTTGTCAATGAAAGGGAAAATTTTTCACTTCAATCCATCTTGCATCAAATTTTATAATTAAGATTATACCAAGTCTAATGTTCTAGAATTTATTCACAAAATAAGGAGAAGTAGACCTTTTCTTTGTTGGAATTTTTGGGTCAATGAAAGAAGACTTTGTCATGAATGATACGGCCCATAAAAGCTCATATATAATTAGGGCTTTTCTGAATCAATTTGTCTAGTCCTTATATATGTAAATTAATTAATTAATTAACTAATTAACTTATGATTGTCAATATCATATTACAATTATACAACTAAAACAAGGGCATTACAACACATCTATTCTATGCAAGACAATCACATAATTTTACATCTAAATATGTAAAGAAAGAGAGATGATGCATTTTTTTTTTTTTTTTAATGACTGAATTGTTCGGGCCGTTTTATGTGTATCTCGACTAATTCTCAGGAAAAGATATCCTACAGCAACCCACCATCGCGGCCTCTCAAGTAAATTATGGGTAATGGTACTATCTTTGCGCCTAACGGGGAATCAAAGATGATGCATTTTGATTCTAGAGTCATATAATTTAATTTTTATCTTTTTGAATTATGAAGTCATGTAATTTGAGTTATGTGCATACAAATAATTGTCTTCTTAAACTGCACAAAGATTTAAAGTGATACATCTTGAAATATTTTAATTAAATATGTTTGAATTTAAATTATATATACATATGAGTGTGTTAAATAATCACATTTTAATATTAAATAGATTATTGAAAAAAAAAATACTATTATACTAAGTACATAAATTATTTCTAAAGAAACATTTTCTTATGCTTAATTTTCACTGTTATTGCACTATAAAGGGTACTATAAAATCCATCTCATATAAATTTTCACACTGTGAACTATTTATTTGGTCTTACACTTGTTACA